TTTAAAAAGAACTATTCATTGAACTATCACAACAGATAGAAATAAAAAAAAAAGTTCTGTTTCAAATACCAGGCAGCCAACCTGACCCCATGCCCCCATATAAAACAGCAAAGAAACTGAATATGCATATCTTCAAAGAAAATATACCAATGTCAAACAAGCATGATAAGATGCTTAACATCATTAACCATTAGAAAATCAAAAGGAAAAATTACACCACAATCAAAAGAACATAACAGGTTTCAGTGAAATTGGAACCTTAGGATGCTGTGGGTGGCAATGTAAAACGGTGCAGTGCCTGTACCATTTAAACAAAAAGTATAGTGGCTTCGCAAATAATTAAAGATGGAATTACCACGTGATTCAGAATTACAAATTCTATGTATATATCATAAGTAATTAATAGCAGAATCTCCAAAAGATATATCCAAACCTGTGTTCATAGCAGCATTAGTCACATAGTGAAGTGGTGCAATTCAAATGTACATCCATGAATGAATGGATAAACAAATTGTGGTATGTACAGAGAAAAAAATATTATTCAGCCTTAAAAAGAAATAAAATCTTGGCATATGCTACAACAAGGAACCTTGAGGTCATTACACAAAGTGAAATAAGCCACTCACAAAATCACAAGTATTGTATGGCCCCACTGATAGGAGTCAAATTTTTAGAAACCAAAATAGGATGGCAGACACTAGAGGCTACAAGACTGGGAAAACTGACATATGTCATTTGATGTATATAGAGTTTTGGTATTCCAAGATAAAAAGTTCTGGACATGTCCTGCACAACACTATGACTATACATAACACTACTTAAAGGTAAAAAAAATGGCTCAAATGCTACATTTTATGTTATGTGCATTTTTCTTTACCAAACGAAAATTAAAGTAAATTATTTTAAAAAGCTATAGATGGAACAAATTAAAATACTTTAAAATATTTGATTAATGGAAAAAATTTTTAGGAAAAGCTGAAAAGCAAAGCATTAAGATGCAGATTAGACAATAACAAAAAAGTAGTAAAATGGCAGATGTATATCTAACCCTATTAATAGTTTAAATGGAATTAGATTAAATCTTCTGCTGAAGGCAAAAATTATCAGATTTGATAGGAAAGTAAGACCCAACGATAAGTTAACCAGAGACATACACTTTAAATATAGACACACAGACTGAAAGTTAAAAAGTAAAATAAAATTTAAAATATTACACAAACAGTATGAAAAGCTTAAGTGGAAATATTAATACTAGTGAAAAGAAGTGTCACCACAAAATATGTTACCAAAAATAAATGGAACACTGAAGGATGTGGGCCACACTATTGCCTCCCAAAGCATGGAAAGTGGAAAGGTATCTCACCCTCTCAGGGGTCTGCCAAAGGAGACTTCTGTGAAGAATGGTAAAAGTGCTACATGGTCTCCTCTCTCTGAAACTGGTAAAAATATAAGAAGGACAAAGTAAAGAAGGACAAAGTAAAGAAGGCTGGCTGGTCAGCTCATTAAGATGGATAAAACATGGTTTTAATAAAACCAAGGTCAAGGTTTGGATCACCATATAGGCCATCTGCCAATAAGTAAATAACCAACAATAAAATAAAGAAGGATGTTCAATTTTCAAACAAATTTAAAGAGAATATAAAGGAGCCAGAACTTGCTGAGTTGGAAATAAAACTGCTTTTCAATCCAAGTTTTTTCAACAAAATGTTTTCAAAGACAGAAACTACTTTGAGGCAAGAATCAAACTGTTTTGTAAACAAACAAACAAACAGACAGACAAATGTCTTTCCAGCCTTCTAAGTACCATAAGGTGTGATACATAGATAGCACCTGATAAACAATAAAACTTTTTAAGAAATAGGTGCCTAAGAGAGAATGGAAGGCCAGAGAAAAAAAGGGCCTAACACAGAGGTAGGATTGGTTGTATGGATTTTAGTACAATGAAAGTACATAATTTTTAAAGATGTACACAGGGATATTTCTTTGGCCAGAATCCAAAAAAAAAAATTGTTTTAAAGGTCTTTGGATTTGCAACGTATTATACCAAAACAAAACAAAACAAAAAAAAGACATTGCTCAACTGTAAACCCAATCATTTAATAAAAATGGATATAGACAGAGAATGGTGAGAGCCTACCGGGTGGAGTACAGAAGCAGGAGGCATCCTGTCCAGAGACCAACACGGGTCCTAATCAAAGAACTAAACCAGGTGCCCAGTGGGCATAACTGCTGAGACCAGACCCTGCTGGATGCCAGCCCTTCCCACCTACCCTGCTGAAAGGAAGTGCCCACATGCTTATGCCAGTCTCCTCACTGTGAACTGGCCATGTGTTGAGGAGATGAAGAAAACAGGCCACTGGACATAATTTAATTGGACTTACAGCCAATTGCACAACGGTAGATTTATAGGGATCTTGAGAGGAGCAAATTATATTTTGCATATGGTAGAAACTGGTGGCCAGAGACCAAACCGTGTTCTGTTAAAGACTGCTGGAAATACTTACTATTCCTTTTGTTGAGAGGTAGGATATAATTGCCTTCCTCTTGAATCAGGGCTGGTCTTAGTGATGTGCTTGACCAAGAGAATGTGGTGGAGACATGCTTTGGGATCTGAGTGGAGATAACAAGAAGACTTGCAGCCTCTGCCTGGGCCTCTTGGACACTTACCCTGAAGAAGCTAAACAAATCTGACTACATGGAGACTGCCAGACTCTGAGGAAGTCCACCTGGCCACAAAGAGGGCCTGGATGTCTGCCCGAAGTCCCCAGCCACTCGTGTTCTTCCACTTTAGACCAGACACATCATGCAGCAGCCAACCCACACTACCCTGAACACTATACTTACCTACAACATTGTAACATGGAATTCTTATACTTATTCTTATAAATAAAATTCTTATTCTAAACAACTATGTTTTGTGTCACTGTGTCATGCAGCTGATCACAGGAACACCAGACAAGTCATTAGAGACCACAGACAGTACTCTCATATGCAACAGGAAGCATGTAGTTTCACATTGATCGTTAGGTCCAAAATAAATAAAGCCAGCATTTCACATCTTGTTACACCTCAAACTCTAGTTGAGAATGTAAACTTTCAGTTAACTGGTATGTCATTTTTCTTTCTTAACCAACTGTTAGCTAGGGTTCTGGTTTATAAGCATACTGATGACTAATGCACACACCCATTTTTCTCATTGATTTCTAAGTGATCAGCTGATATAGGAGAAGAAGAATATACAATCTGTAAGAAAGTTTAAAAACATAATGGGACTTCTTGAAGTAGAAACAGAAAACTGTACAATAAGAAAACTACACACAGAATCAGATATAAATTTATATATGCAAAATGTACAAATTATAAAAATCTGCCATTTCTATTTTTCTTCTTTGCATGCCTTTTTACTGGCCCTTCATCAAACATGTCCCACTAACTGCTGAAGGCTCTCTCCCCTCACACTCCTAAGGATGTCACCACAGGTGCTGACTAGAAGCACAGGTCACCAGGGATTGAATCTCATCTCCCAGGAAATATGCCCTTAGGGTTTTACATGAGTATTTACACTGGAACAAAGTTACTGTCTTTATAAGAGCCAACATCTCCTACCCCTATACAAGCAGTGTATACAGAAATTAGAGTAAAATGAAAACAACAAGAAAGCAAAAGGAACAGGAATAAATAGCAGAAAAGACGAGACCCCAGAAACAGGGAGGAGTCCAGGAAAAATCCCATTTCACTGGCGTGGGTCACTGGCTGGATGGTACTGTTACCACAAGTAAGAGAAATGAAGTAGACGTCACTTTCATTTTGGATTCATTGGCCTTAAGGTGCCTTTTAAATAGCTAGAAAAACAGTCAACAGAGAGTTCAACCTATGATCCAAAGAAAAGGGAAGAAATAGAAAAGAGAAGAAGCTAAAGTGAACCAAGAGTACAAACTACAGAGGACTGAATCAGTCAAGAAGAACAGCACAGTGAGAACAGTGCCCAGAGTGAAGCACTTTGATGAGCTATGTTAAGAGGAAAAGAGAAGAATTCAGGAGAAACTAGAGAAAACCATCAGTAAGGGCTTGAGAGAAACTAACAAACCAACACAGAAGAATTTCCAGAAGTCATGAACAGCAGTTTCAAAGGTGGCAGAAGATTCAACTTAAAAAAAGACTAGAGAATAGGCACTGGATTTCACTAATTTACATGATAATTCAAGTTTTTATCCGTGAATCAAGTCTTTTTATCTGTGAATCAAGTCTTCCAAAGCTGTATACAAACCACAAGACATATGAGTGAAGCCATCTTGAAGCAACAGCCTCAGTCAAGGCACCAGGTGACTGAAGCTACATTTACAATCCAGGCATTGCTAGCAAGAAATCTGCCCAGCTGAGTACACCCAACATGTGGATCCATAGAACTTCAAGAAGATAAAATGGCCTGATAGGTTAAGCCACTTGGGTTTTCATTTGTTCTTACACAGTGAATGTTAACTGACACATCTAAGTCCCCAGAACTCAGTAGGCTTTAACAAAATTATGTAGGGGAGAAAGTTTTATATTACATGAAACTTTACAGACTGCTTATTCAGGAACACGTGCCTTAGCACTCACTAACCATTTCCAGTGCAGAAAGGTAAAACTGTTCATTTCCATGTTGGCAGTCAAACACGTTCTGATAGAGACAGTGATTCAGAACTTACTGGCAGTAAATCTTCATATCCCATGAGAATTTGGTATTTTACCTTATTAGTTTCCATTCCAGTCATGTAAAACAAGTGTCTGCCTTTTTTGCCACAACATCAGAAAGACCAGAGACAAACTTTTACTGAACTTAGATGACTCTGAGGTCTTATAACTTGCTATATCTACATGCAAACGTTATCTTACATATGTGCATTTCCTTTAAGCTGAGTTTTATTCATTTCGACTTTTCCATTTTAATTCATGCTCCCCACAATAACCAGGTAATAACAGTAAAAAAAAAAAAAAAGAGAAATAAATAGTCAACTCACCAGAGAATTATTCATCTTTTGTTGCTCTTGAAAATGCATATGGCACTCTGGCAGCTTAGATGGGAGAGAAGAGAATGGAGTGGATTAAGGAAAGAACTCTTGTGCATTGGCCCTGGATTCTCCTGCCCCAAACTCTCTACACAATAGCTAGGAAAGAAAAACAAACAAAATCCTCCCTATGAGACAATAATCTTTTATGGTCAATAAGGTGCAACAAAGACCCATTTAAGGCGCATCTACAAGTACATTAATTGGTACAAAAGAGACACACAGTTTATTTTGGTGTTAACGAAAANTTTACATGAGTATTTACACTGGAACAAAGTTACTGTCTTTATAAGAGCCAACATCTCCTACCCCTATACAAGCAGTGTATACAGAAATTAGAGTAAAATGAAAACAACAAGAAAGCAAAAGGAACAGGAATAAATAGCAGAAAAGACGAGACCCCAGAAACAGGGAGGAGTCCAGGAAAAATCCCATTTCACTGGCGTGGGTCACTGGCTGGATGGTACTGTTACCACAAGTAAGAGAAATGAAGTAGACGTCACTTTCATTTTGGATTCATTGGCCTTAAGGTGCCTTTTAAATAGCTAGAAAAACAGTCAACAGAGAGTTCAACCTATGATCCAAAGAAAAGGGAAGAAATAGAAAAGAGAAGAAGCTAAAGTGAACCAAGAGTACAAACTACAGAGGACTGAATCAGTCAAGAAGAAGAGCACAGTGAGAACAGTGCCCAGAGTGAAGCACTTTGATGAGCTATGTTAAGAGGAAAAGAGAAGAATTCAGGAGAAACTAGAGAAAACCATCAGTAAGGGCTTGAGAGAAACTAACAAACCAACACAGAAGAATTTCCAGAAGTCATGAACAGCAGTTTCAAAGGTGGCAGAAGATTCAACTTAAAAAAAGACTAGAGAATAGGCACTGGATTTCACTAATTTACATGATAATTCAAGTTTTTATCCGTGAATCAAGTCTTTTTATCTGTGAATCAAGTCTTCCAAAGCTGTATACAAACCACAAGACATATGAGTGAAGCCATCTTGAAGCAACAGCCTCAGTCAAGGCACCAGGTGACTGAAGCTACATTTACAATCCAGGCATTGCTAGCAAGAAATCTGCCCAGCTGAGTACACCCAACATGTGGATCCATAGAACTTCAAGAAGATAAAATGGCCTGATAGGTTAAGCCACTTGGGTTTTCATTTGTTCTTACACAGTGAATGTTAACTGACACATCTAAGTCCCCAGAACTCAGTAGGCTTTAACAAAATTATGTAGGGGAGAAAGTTTTATATTACATGAAACTTTACAGACTGCTTATTCAGGAACACGTGCCTTAGCACTCACTAACCATTTCCAGTGCAGAAAGGTAAAACTGTTCATTTCCATGTTGGCAGTCAAACACGTTCTGATAGAGACAGTGATTCAGAACTTACTGGCAGTAAATCTTCATATCAGATGAGAATTTGGTATTTTACCTTATTAGTTTCCATTCCAGTCATGTAAAACAAGTGTCTGCCTTTTTTGCCACAACATCAGAAAGACCAGAGACAAACTTTTACTGAACTTAGATGACTCTGAGGTCTTATAACTTGCTATATCTACATGCAAACGTTATCTTACATATGTGCATTTCCTTTAAGCTGAGTTTTATTCATTTCGACTTTTCCATTTTAATTCATGCTCCCCACAATAACCAGGTAATAACAGTAAAAAAAAAAAAAAAGAGAAATAAATAGTCAACTCACCAGAGAATTATTCATCTTTTGTTGCTCTTGAAAATGCATATGGCACTCTGGCAGCTTAGATGGGAGAGAAGAGAATGGAGTGGATTAAGGAAAGAACTCTTGTGCATTGGCCCTGGATTCTCCTGCCCCAAACTCTCTACACAATAGCTAGGAAAGAAAAACAAACAAAATCCTCCCTATGAGACAATAATCTTTTATGGTCAATAAGGTGCAACAAAGACCCATTTAAGGCGCATCTACAAGTACATTAATTGGTACAAAAGAGACACACAGTTTATTTTGGTGTTAACGAAAACATACGTTACCTACTCATTCAGCAAGAATCAATGATATCTAAACATACAACTTCATCATTTAAACCAAAGAAAAACAGGGAGTTCCAGTCAAGATGGTGGAGTAGTTGGTTCCTGGTGTCACTCTCTCCCACAGAGTGACCAATTTGCAGCTATTGATGAGCAGCAATGGAGGACCCGCGATCTGTGCTGGAGTGGACGGGAGCTGTCCACCATGGGACCCTGGTTCAGGTTGCTCTCCATTCTGCAGAAAGACTTTAGAGCTTCTGGGCCCACACACCTTGAGCCTGCCAGGCTGGAGAAGGCAAGTGGGGCAGGACTTCCAGCCCAGGTCAGTCCAACCACCGGGAGATGTAACAGCCTCAGGGCTCCCACACCCCAAGCCAGCTGTCCTGGAGTAGGCAGGCAGGGCAGGAATTCGAGCCCAGGCTGGTCCTGCTGCCAGGAAAGACCTAACAGCCTTGGGGCTCCCATACCCCAAGCCAGCCAAGGTGGAGAAGGCAGGTGGTGTGGGACTTTTGGCCCAGGCTGGTCCCCACCTCCAAGAGTGACTTAACAGGCTCTAAGCTCCCAGACACTGAGCCAGCCAAGCTGGACAAGGCAGGTGGGGCAGGAATTCTGGTCCAGGCTGCCCCACTTCTGAGAGTGACTTAAGGGCTCCAAGCCTCCACAACCTAAGCCACTCGAGCCAGAGAAGGGAGGTGGGGTAGGACACCTGGCCCAGGCTGGTCCGTGCCTCTGGGAGTGAATTAAGAAGTGCAGAGCCCCCACACCCTGAGCCAGCCATGTCAGAGAAGGCAGACAGAGCAGAACTTCTGGCCCAGGCTAGTTTCTGCTGACCAGAAGCAGCAGTCCCTTCAGGATCCAAGCCAGACATCAGGGTGAAACAAGTACACTGTGATACCCCTGGCTGCAATGACAAAACACCAAGGGAAAGATAACAGAAATATGAAAAATCAAGAAAGTATATCAACACCAAAGGAAATTAATAACTTTCAAGTGCTAGATCCTATAGAAGAGGATATCTTTGAAATGACAGACAAAGAATTAAGAGCAACTATTCTAAGGAAATTAAATGAGATATAAGAAAACTCAGTTAGACAACACAATGAAATAAGAAAAAGTATACAGGATCTGAAAGAAGAAATGTACAAAGAAATCAATGCCTTGAAAAAGGATGTAGCTGAGCTTGTGGAGCTGAAGGATTCGTTCAGTGAAAAACACAACAGAGAGTTTAACCAGCAAACTTGAACAAGCAGAAGAGATAATTTCTGACCTTGAAGACAGGCTGTTTAAATTATCACAGGAAGACCAGAAAAAAGAGAAAAGAAAAAAAAAATTGAAGAAAATCAAGAGAGACTACAGGCAACCTTAAGCATGCAAATATCTGAATCATGGGAATTCCAGAAGGGGAGTAAACAGAAAATGACATTGAGAACAGATTCAGTGAAATAATAGCAGAAAACTTCCCAGGTATAGGGAAAGTCACAGATCTCCAGATTCAGAAAGCCCAAAGATCACCAAACACATTCAGCCCAAAAAGGCCTTCTCCAAGACACATGATAATCAAACTGACAAATCTCAAAAGACAAAGAGAATTTTAAAAGCTGCAAGAGACGCAGCAACTCACCTATAAGGGAGCCCCAATCAGAAAAGTATATTTCCTTTTTATTTTATTATTATTATCATTATTATTATTATTATTTATGTTTTTATTTTTATTTTGTCAATATACAATGTGGTTGATTATTATGACCCATCACCGAAACCTCCCTCCGTGCTCCCCAGAATAGTATATTTCTCAGACAAACAAAAACTATGGGAATTCACTACCAAACGACAAGCCCTATAAGAAATTCTCAAGGAAGTACTAGATTTGATACCACAAAAACAACCATCACTGCCATGAATATGCAAGAAAAAAGAATACCTACTAGCAAAATAAAAATGCTAACAAAAGAAAAAACAGTTTATCTATAACCTCAAGAAACCAACAAATACAGAAGACAAACAGAAAATTAGAAAGAAAGGAAAAGATATTTAGGATATCTAAACAAAAATCAGTAAAAGCTAGGTGTAAGTCATCACCTTTTAATAACTCTAAATGTAAAGGGATTATATTCCCCATTCAAAAGACAAAGACAGACTGACTGGATTAAAAAGATGGATCCATAATCTGCTGCCTTCAAGAGATTCACCTCACCTGTAAAGACACACATAGACTAAGAATGAAAGGATGGAAAAAGATGTACCATGCACATAGAAATGGAAAATGAGCTACAGTAGCTATTCTTATATCAGATAAAATGACTTTAAAGCAAAAACCATTAAAAGAGATAAAGAAGGCCACTATATAACGATAAAAGGATCTATCCATCAAGAAGACATAACAATCATAAATATATATGCACCTAATGTTGGAGCAGCCAGATTAACAAACCAAACACTATTAGATCTAAATAAAGAGATAGACACTAACACCATAATAGCAGGGTACCTGAAAACCCCACTCTCATCATTGGACAGATCATCTCGGCCAAAAATCAACAGAGAAACACAAGATCTAAACAATACCACAGACTAATTGCATTTGGCAGATATCTACAGAATATTCCATCCAACAACCTCAGAATGTTCATTCTTCCCATCAGCACATGGAACATTCTCCAGAATAGACCATATGTTACATCACAAAGCAAGTCTTAACAAATTCATAAAAATTGGACTCCATGCATTTTTTCTGATCACAACAGATTAAAATTAGAAATCAATAATAAACAAAACTCTGAAAAATATACAAACTCATGGAAATTAAACAACATTCTACATAATAACAAGTGGGTCCAAGAATAAATTAAACAGGAAATCAAAAAATTTCTTGAAAGTAATGAAATTAATGACAAA